ATATTTCTTCCTTAATTATATAAATTTAAAGCATTTATCAGTTGCATTATTACACTGTTTGCGTTCATCATTAACATTTTATTTTTATTTTCTCATTCGCCTAGATGCGTTCGGAAAAATATTTAAGCTAAATAAGAAAAAAGAAAATGTTTGTTTCGCCCTTTTCTGACGATCTTTAAAAGTTGTTCGCTAAACAATATTAACAATTGTTGTTCTTAATTTCAATTCTTTGTACAGCCTGTATAAATACGAATGACAATAAAAATAAAGGTGATGTTTAATAATCTTTAAAATGATTTGCTGTTTCTATTGCATACTATTATATAATTATTATAACTTATTTTGGAAACGACGCTTTTAAGACAGCGGACACGCTCATTCAGTGTGTTTATAAAAGTAACATTCTGTACAGCCATAATACAATATTAAAATAGAGGCGAGACTTTTAATACAATAATGTACGTTACACAAGTACACAAGTTGAATATATCACAGATCCTGTATATCATTTAACACTTACAATTTATAACATTTACAGCAAAGCACAGTTTATATATTGCGGCCAACTGACCTATACTATTTTAATATTTATAAATAATAATAATCAAATTAACATAAGATTTGTCACGGCTCGCTCATATTCAAATTTAAAGAGCAACAATCTATATACCCTAGACGGATTTAAATTACATTTTGATATACATATCATTTATTTGCAAAAATAATAGGTTGGTTGTGCAGACAGAGTAGGTTTGTGAATCGTCGGCGATAATAATATGTTAATTTCGCCTGTAAATGAATGATAAAAATATTAATAACATGAAAGTTTTATAATTGTATCTAGGCTTTTAGGCCTATGACTTCGTAAACTTTCATTTATGAAATAATATGCTGGTCATCTTCAAACCAATACAAATAGCCTAGGCCTATTCGTAAATTGTAATCTAAACAATAAATCAAAGTTGAAGAATTATTGCATTGAGAAAAATGTTTGTACAACATGCCTAATCATTCATAATCAAGAAGCTAGGCCTTGTAAGTAAAATAGCAGCATTCTCCACACTTTGTTTATAATATTAGTGAGTTATTATCATTATTACTGTATTATTATTTATTATTATTATTATTATTATTTATTATTATTATTATTATTATTTATTATTCATTATTTACTATTCATTATTTACTATTCATTGAAATTTTGATTTGTAATTTGTAAAACATTTAAACGTTTTGATTTAAAATATGAATTAAAACAATCAATATATTATAATACAATTAGGCCTATATCTCTAAAATATATTTTTATCTTTAAAATCTTTTAGTTAGTTGCACAATTAATTGATTTGTAAAGCACAATTGGGCATGTTTGCATAGCACAGGACTCCTTGGACAAGTTTTCGCTTTTATTTGAGGATTCAATTTTTATTTTTAATTATAATTTAAGCTACCTTTGACTGATACTTCATGTAGCTTTCTGGAAATTTAGTTATATAATTTAACAGCAAAGTGCAACATTGCATCTTTTTATAAATTATTGCTGCTTGAAAATTCTTCCCTTTTTTTATCATCGTAATTAAGCTGATTTAAGTACTACCTTAAGGTGTTCGGCCGAAGAAGTACCGAAATTTAGGCCTGTCTAGGCCTAGTAGTAGTAGGTGGATATATTACCGCGAAGTGGGGCGGGCGGTACATGCCTTATAATTTACTACGTGGATAGCGAGATTTTTCGATCGCCATGCAAAGTTAAAATAAAATCCCAAATCCTCCTTCTTTTTGTAATTTAAGGAAATTAAAATACATTTTTGTTTCTTTGTTGGATCGATTGCAGCAACTCCAAACCCAACATAACGGTATTTCACATTATAATTATAGCATTCACATTATTTAGCATTAATCATCTATAATAACTGCTAACTTCCAACTTCCTACCCTATCGCGTTGTTTTGTTTTGGTGACAACATGGCCGGTGTAAGTCACGTGATTGAAACCGAGTTGGCCAAACTCTCTCTATCTACGGCTCTGGGCCACTGCAGAGCCATATATATAAAGTGTTGGACAATTCCGCTCCTTGGTTTACGAAAGTCACGTGGTACACACCGTCCATTTTGTTTCATAATCTTTCCGATGAACGCATGCAAAGTATATGTGTTACGTACATTGCATATTAATTTCACACACTTAATTGGGTTTACAATAATTATATTTTATAATTAACATCACTTAGTATGGACAGCGTATAAGAATTAATATAATCGAATATTTGCGCGCGTGCGTACTCGCGTAAATTCCGTGCTCGCGTAAATGATTGAAATTAAAATTAGAATTGTTTTCAATTATCGTTAATTCGTCACATTTTAATCAACGAAGACCTTC